TCTGTTTGCATATTTTAAGCTACAAATTTAAAACATATTTAATTGGTGTGCTTATAAAATACAACATTCACAGCTACATATATCAGTACAAAATCAGTACAAACTCAAAAAATCAGTAGATTTTGCGTACTGATTTCGGGCTCTTTAAAATCAGTACAATAGAAACAAATCAGCACATGTACTGATTAAATCAGCGCATCTGGCCACCCTATCACAAATAGACTACATACATGGTCCAACGATTTTTGCAGGGGAGTAATCGTACTGCACAGTGGTGAAAAGAGTAACATTTAAATTAAAAATTAGTACTATTATTCTTCACTATGATATATACCACGTTTATACGTAAGCTATTTGCAAATAAAAATAATTTGCAAATACCTAACTCACTGTTTATTCGACGGTGAAAATTTTTTATTTATTATTGCCTGATTATAAAAAGGCAATAATATGACCATCGAAAAAGAAAATAAACCTAAGAATGGCGGCGTCTTGCGCTTATTTGCAAATAGTATCACTAATCTGCATACTTATCTCAATTTATTTATTTTTTTTTTGGATTATGACACTCTCGAAGCAAATGTACGATGTTTATATCATCAAAAGCAAGAATAATGAAGAAAGACAACAATTTACGAGGGTGCCGGGCGCGGTCACGGCGCGTCTGAGCGGCATTTCTGAGCGGAGCCATACAGAAATGCCGGTCATTGCGTGGCCTCGACCTTAGGGTCTCTGCTAGGCTTGCCAACTTTTGAAACAGCTAAAGGAGGACAAAATAATTTTTAAGGAGGACTTTGTATCCGGATTTGCTCAGGAGGACACAATATTTGTAAAAAATTTAGGGAAAAGGCCTTTTATGCATTTTAATAAATTCATTTATTCAAAAGAAAATCATCAGTAAGGTGAAATGGTTCTCAATTTTCTCTTCGTTATCCTTTATTTTTGAAAGTAATTAACGATCTTCATATCCAAACAATTAAAAATGTGAAATATAAGGGGTATTCATCTAACCGCGTAAATGCCTCGTAACGACGCAAACCTCGAAAACTTACTTAATTTTGTATGGAAAACCGAGGATAAAAAACGAGTATTTGGCTTTTGAGGAGGACTTTTTACTCTTTGGTGAAGACGGAGGAAATTTCTTGGCAAAGCGGGACTGTCCTCCCGAAAGGAGGACGTTTGGCAAACCTAGTCTCCGCTGAAATGTTTTTTTTCGATATTTAATTGATTTTGTCTAGTATTGAAGTTAATAGGTGCGCGCTCACTTAGAATTTTTGTGTTTGTACACAAACTAAAAATTAGACAAAGCAATTCAAAACTGAAAAATTGTATGTAATGATACACGGGCTAAACGTTACTGAAACATATCGTCGCTTGTCGCGCAGTACCTCTGCAAAATACCACGTACATATATGGTGGCCCCAGCGTTGCCGTTTTGATACAATTGTATAATTTTTGATACTTTTTTTCTTAATTGTAAGTTTTGATACTTTGATACTTTTTTGTTCACAAATGCCCCATTTTGATATTTTGGCAACCAAGTTTTTTCTTGTTATTTAAAGTCTTAAAATTTATATATAGTTATTTATAAGTTTGATTTTGTAACTCTTATAAGGGAAATACAACCCGGAATTTCTTTGCACATGCCGCTGTTATAGAGCCCCTAAACCACACCAAAACATTGCGCAATATCGGACATGCGTCGGTCGTTTGTGTGGTGTATGGGTTTGTTTGTACTTAATTGCACAGTTATTGTGCTAAAATCAAAATCCGTTTGATATTTTGCTCATGCTTGTGTTATTGTGCAATAATTTGTGCTGGGTATGGTGATAACTACATAATTCTTAGTCTAGTTTTGATTTTGGTGTCCAGATCGTGCTGTAAAATATGGATATGAGCGTAGAAAAAATTAAAAAAATTTTTAATATTCTTTTTTGCATTTTAAAGCTGAAGCTATCATGATATACAACGCACATTTATATTTATTGCACATATTTCCTTGTTATAAGTTTGCTTTGCGTTATGCTAATAAGCAAACAGATTCTTTTTTTGTTTAAGCAAGTAATATAATTTTTTTTTATAACTATGGCTTTAATTATAAAATTTTATTTATTATTTGTTTTTCAAGTAAAAGTTTAACAAATAACAGTTTTGTTTGCTTTTGATACTTTCTCTGCTTGGCAACTGATAAATTTTTTTCAACCTCGCGGCAACGCTGGTGGTGGCCCAGAAAAGATTCATTTCGATTACCCAGTCTCAATGCTTGCTTACATACCTCACAGATTTAGTGCTAAATAATTCTAGTAAGAGCTCATATTTAGTAATTGAGCTAGAAAACCATTCAAAGATTTTGAAGAAAGAAAATAAGTTTCTCTGCTCTTTTCGGAAATTTTTTGATATCTTATACGTGATCAGGTTGCCACACATGGGATTTTCCTACGAAAACTGATACGTTTTTTTCCATTTGGTAGGTTGGTAGGCTAGATGGGATTTTGGTAGGTTTCGTGACAATGAGTAATAGTTATTTGCGAAAAATAGAAAATATGTATCTCCTAACATTTTAGCAACCTTGTTTACACGAATATTTTACCGGTGTATTCGTATAACGGCGACGGCAAACATGTACATATACCTGATTCGTAATGCGGTGTTCGCATGAGGCGATTTTACAGGCAACTTTTAGTCGACAGCAAAAATCGCCTGGTGTGAACGGCCCTTCTACTAATCGCCCCTAAAATTGCCTGGAAAATCGCCACATGCGAACACCGTATAAGTATGTGTATCCTTATTATTGCCAATATATAACATGAACATCCATATATACTTTATGGCGTACTTAGACCAAGATTCCAGAAAAGTCTGTCAATGGGCTCATACCCAGCCATATTTCAGGGGCAGGTCTTTGCAATCGAAGTCTGTGTATGCGAATGTTTCGTAGAAGGACAAACGCCTTAGACTCTTTTAAAACTGCATCGAGGCTTGTGGACTCTTGAACCACCTTGGAGCCCACAATAGCGTAACACTGAGGTGGGTTCCGGAACATGAAGGGTTTGAAGCCAACGAAAGGTCTGACTGAACCTAAATGCGCTTGCATGGTCCCGAGCCATTCTGCTGTACATCTATCTATCTACTTATGGTGGTTTCGTTTCTACAAAAAAAATTCCGAATTTTGTTTGCCCCTTTCCCTTTTCGTGTTCGATTCTAAAATAAGGGCAAAACCGTGAAAAAAGTTTGTGTTCGTTTCTTAAAATGTCACACTCTTGTAAGGCCAAAAAGGCACATCTTCTGCCCTTAGATGCTTTGTCAGGGGAGATGGTTGCCCTCAAAATTAGATGGTTGCTTAAAACGATAATATTATGAAACACGTGATCTGGACAAGGACAAGAAGGCAAAAGCATTACCTTTTACAGGGTTTAGTCTAACACCAAACACATTTTCCACCGTGCAAGGGCAACCTTTTTTGGTAGAAACGAAATCACCATTAGGAGCTAAGAGGAATCTCAGATTGCTGCCCACTGGTGGAAGGAAAAGATAATAAGACTACTAAAGAGATTCATAACTCCTCCCAGGAGGAACTGGAAAAGACTCCTTGTACTTGGAACTCTTTCTGGCTACTTGACAGCATACTGCAAGTTAAGGTAGCATTTAAATCAAATGCGGCTTTCTGTAGAGACGGACTGTAGATTTTTTGGGCTGGTGGAGGAAACCTCAAAGTATATTCTATGTACCTGCCCACGAAACATGAATCGTAGACTGATACACTTTGGAGAATGATTTTGTTCTTCATATAAAATTTGGAATATGGCACCGTCCAAAGTGCTTAGGTTTTTGAATAGCCTAAGGTTGGAGTGATTACAATAGATCTTCTTAGGTCACATAAGTACAGTACAGTAAAATGAATAGTTATACGCTGTTAATTTGTTTTTCATGTACTAGCTGTGTCTTAGTTTTACTAAATGTTTAGTTATCTACATTTTTAACAAACTTGACATTGAACAAAGATATTAAAAACTCAAAAAAATTTTTGGTAGGTTTTGGTGTATTTTGGTTAGAAGTTTTGGTAGGCAAAAAATTTATCTGTGGCAACATTGTACGTGATATATGTATGTAGCATTTGGCGTATGCTAGGTATTCCACGCCAAGTGACGATAAATATGTATATGACTTTTGTTTGATCACTGATTTGGGCATGCAGCTTATTTTTGTGTAGTACATAGGCTCAGTTCCAAGCTGCGTCAATTAGTGATGGGCGAAATAGATATTTTTCAGTATCAGTGAAAAGAGTGATTGCGATTTTTAAATCACAGTGATTTTTTATGGGTATTGCGATCGCTATTTCTTTTAATAACACTGAAATTTGTAATAGTCCTAATAAATAATGACAAATCAGTGTTGGTACATGTAGGGAAAAGAGGTAAAAGCTTCATTTATTCGCTCAAAAATTGCCATATTTCATTTCGTTCTTTTATTAATACTTGCAGCTTTTTTTACTCGTTGATAGAAATTTTGAAGTAAAAAACTGAAGCGCAAATCACGTGATCAAGCAAATCAAACTGCGTACTTGAAAATGTCCATTTAAAGCAACCATGGAACGGTAAGAAAAAAACCGAATATACATATGATACTGTCAAATATTAAGCACCCTGTTTGGTATTGTCGTACGATTTCTGCTAGTCTGTCTTCCCACGTTATTCGTACACCTACAACATGACATACGGGGGTTGCTGACAGTTTTCCTGGTGAGAGGACTGGCACTTCGTTCTTGTCTTTTGACAGCATCAAGCTGAAATCAATACATTGTGTAGTTTGCTATTAATTGAAATAAAGTAAATCTGACGGATTTATTAATGGCGACGAGGATGGGATCATCCCCATCACATTAAAGTTTGTTTCAACAACGCGTGACTTGGCAAGCGACAAAGTAAAACTATCGCAAAAACTACGTGCAGATATCGAGAGCGGCTACAAGTCAGCCAGTGAAGGTGACCCTTTTGACCGCTATGCGACTTACTGAGGTTCGGGTAACCTTTTTGACATCCAAAGTCAAGTACGTGTACTGGGAATTTGCACAATCATTCAATTCTTCGTTGCATCGTGTGTCAATGCCAATTAAGCTGGAAAAAGAAGCTGCTTTGGAACGAGATTTGACAAAGGAAGACTCAGCATCCAGTTCAAGAAGAATTCCTATTGAGCCATCGAACTCTGCAATGACTTCAGTAGGAACATTAGAGCCTTTTGACATAAGTCATCCGGAGAATTGGTCCACATACTACGCTAGGTTCGAGTTGTTTCTTCAGGCCAATGACATACGGACAGCTGAGCGTCAAAGGGCGATTTTTTTAACACTAGCCGGTGCGCCGCTTTATGATCTGCTGTCGTCATTGGCATCCCCTAAGAAGGTGAGTGACCTTCAAGTTTCGGAAATTCAAGCAGTATTAACGAATCATTTTTCCCCTCGTCCATCGGAAATTGCATCATTTTACAAATTCCACAAGCGCGATCAAATGCCGAATGAGACCTTTGCGGAATATATAGCCGCCCTTAGAAAGCTTGCGGTCGATTGCAATTTTGGCGGTGCTTTAGATCGCATGCTTCGTGATCGTTTGGTGTGCGGTTTGCGCGACGAATCCCTTCAACGAAACCTCCTCGCGGAGTCTGACCTCCAACTGCAGAAGGTCATAGAACGGGCTACAACAGCGGAAGCCGCATCAAAGAACGTGCAAGTAATACGACAACCCGAACAAGTTAATCAAGTTGGAAAACGTAATCAGCCGAAATTCAATGAAAAATTTAAAAGCTCAAACAATACAGCTAGCGCAAAACCTTGTAATGGTTGTGGTGGTGCACATGCTCGATCTCAGTGCTCTCATAGGGAAACAATCTGTTCTGCATGTGGTGTCAAGGGCCATTTGCAACGGGTCTGCCGGTCAGTCAATGCAGGTGCGACGAAGGAGCATACGAAAGCTACGGACAAAAATCGACAACAAGGCGGTAAGTCGAAACCACAGTCGATTAATCAGATTTTAAGCTCAAGGAGTCGTAAGAAATCTACCACCATATACATCAACCAAAAACCATGTAAGTTCGAAGTGGATTCAGGTTCGGATTATACTATAGTATCTTCTAAAACATTCGACCAATTATGGCCGGGGGTTAAGCCATTACTATACGAGTGCGGTCTTGAGTTGAGGGATTTTCAACATAATGGTGTACCTATCAGAGGTGTCTTAGATGTTGACATTGAGTACAACAAACGCTCAATCAAAGACTTACCACTTATCATTGTAAATGGTAACCAAAGCAACGTGCTGGGTTGTAATTGGTTTGATTCGCTGGGCATAAGCGTGCAGGGAGTGTTGGCAATTGAGGAATCGCCCACAATCAAACATATTTTAGGCAAATTTGAGCATCTTTTTTCAAAAGAACTTGGCAAATTCAGAGGGGAACCAGTTTCCTTACAAGTTAAAGACAACATCCAACCCATTAGGCTTCCCGCACGCCGTATTCCAATAGCTATTCGCAGTCTTGTTGAAACTGAACTCGATCGTTTGTGCGCTCAAGGTATTTTTGAACCTGTCGAATACTCTGACTGGGCAACGCCCATCGTCCCAGTTCTCAAAAGCGATGGAACAATTAGAATTTGTGGTGACTATAAGTCTACCCTTAATAAGGCCATGTTGCCACACAATTTCCAAATTCCATCTATAAGCTCGATTATCTCTTCAATAGAAGGGGTAAAGATCTTTGCTAAATTAGATCTCGCACAAGCGTACCAACAACTTGCTGTAGACGAAGACTCTGCCATGTTGCAAACCGTTGTGACACACAAAGGCGCATTTAAAGTAAACCGTCTTCAATTTGGTATTTCGTCAGCTCCGGGAATTTTTCAGAATTTTATTGACGTGCTCCTTCGGAATATTCCTGGTGTGTTACCATATTTCGACGATGTAGTCATCATGGGCGGAACCGAGACGGAACTATCTGAGCGTCTAAATGAAGTGCTATCCCGATTCGACAAATCAGGGTTACATCTTCGGCGGGATAGGTGCAAATTTGGAGTACACACCATAAATTTTTTAGGGTACAAAATTGATGGTTTTGGGGTTAGACCTTCACCAGAAAAAATGAAGGCCATTAAGAATGCTCCGGTCCCCAAAGATAAGAAACAGCTGCAGGCTTTTCTTGGACTGTTAAATTTTTACCATTCGTTTCTGCCAAATAAGGCTACAATTGTAGAGCCCCTGCATCGTCTCTTAGAGAAAAATAGGAATTTTGTCTGGAAATCTGAGCACCAATTTTCTTTCAATAAATTAAAGCACCTAGTCACTTCTGATAGCGTACTCGTCCATTACGATGAAAAACTACCACTGATACTCGTTTGCGACGCTTCACCGTATGGCATTGGGGCCGTACTAAGCCATAGAATGTCTGATGGGTCTGAAAGGCCTATAGCGTTTTATTCAAGAACCTTGTCGAATTCCGAGAGAAACTATGCACAAATCGACCGCGAACCTACCGCCATTGTAGCTGGCGTGAAAAATTTTCATGACTACTTATATGGTAGAAAATTTACATTGGTTACGGATCATCGTCCGCTTCTGGGCATCTTCAGCACAACAAAGCAGACCCCACTGATCCTGTCCCCCGTAATGTTGNCCTACCGCCATTGTAGCTGGCGTGAAAAATTTTCATGACTACTTATATGGTAGAAAATTTACATTGGTTACGGATCATCGTCCGCTTCTGGGCATCTTCAGCACAACAAAGAAGTCCCACTGATCCTGTCCCCCGTAATGTTGCGTCGCACCGTGTTCCTGAATGCATACAATTTTGAATTTATTTATAGAGAGGGTAAGAAGATGGGGAACGCAGATTGTCTAAGCCGCCTACCCATTGAAGAGCCTCATACTGGGACTAATGATGGAGAAGTACTCATGATCGAGTTGGCTAGTACCCAAATCGTCAACGCCAAAGATATAGCAAGGCTCTCGTCGAAAGATCCGCTACTCACCAAGGTACGCAGCTGGGCGTTAAGGGGCTGGCCGTGTTCAGTATCTCGGAACGATGAAGCATATCCATACTTTCTGCGCCGCAACGAGATCAGCACTCTTAAAGAATGTCTGTTATGGGGGAACAGAACTATTATCCCACCGCCATGTCGTCAGGCCATCTTACACGCATTACATTCAGGACATCCTGGCATCGTTAAAATGAAGGCATTAGCCAGAAGCTATGTTTGGTGGCCTAGAATGGATCTAGAAATTGAGGGTACCGTTAAGCATTGTACTCCGTGCCAAGAAACTCGACACGAAAAGGTTCAAGCACCAGTCCATACTTGGGAAATGGCAAAAACCGCATGGTCGCGACTTCATGTCGATTTTGCGGGACCATTTCACGGTAAACTATTTTTTTTAACGGTCGACTCATATTCCAAATGGTTGGAAGTCCATATTGTTAAATCCACATCATCTCAGTCTGCCATCAAATCTTTGCGCTCCCTCTTCGCGACTCACGGGCTACCGTGATAATGGCACGGCGTTCACATCGAGGGAGCTCAAAGACTTCATGGCAAATAATTTAATTCGCCATGTCAGGTGTGCTCCATTTCACCCGTCGTCTAATGGACAAGCTGAGCGAATGGTTCAGACGACAAAGGATTTTCTTAAAAAATTACCAGCAAATTCGGAATGGGACCTGAACCTGACGAGATTTGTATTCAATCAGCACATTAGTCCACATTCAGCAACCGGTCGTTCACCTGCAGAGTTAATCTTCAATCGCCAGCTGAAAACATACTTTGACAAGGTCCACCCGCATGAGCTCTCTCCTGCCGTCGAAAATCCTACTGTAAAGGAAACATTNCATCCACTCCCAAACCGGCCCATTATCTTACAAGATTCGCCTTAAAGATGAACGGTTAATTAAGCGCCACTTAGACCAAATTAGGAATCGATCACCTGTTGACGCCGGCATAACTTCATCAAGCAATGAAAATTCCACGTCTATGGAACCAACTTCGAGCGGTGACTCAACTGAAAACGACTCTGAAGCTGAGACAGTTTCACCACCTTCTGAGACAACACAGACAAAAACATCCCTAAGCTCGCATCAATCGCCCACATCGCCGGCAGATACTACACCTGATAGGATCGTCCTACCATCATCACCCCAACCACCGACTCCAAGGCGGTCAAAACGTCCACGAAAGATTCCGGCATTTTACTCGCCATCTGGGCGTTAAGGGGTGTCAAATATTAAGCACCCTGTTTGGTATTGTCGTACGATTTCTGCTAGTCTGTCTTCCCACGTTATTCGTAAACCTACAACATGACATACGGGGGTTGCTGACAGTTTTTCTTGTGAGAGGACTGGCACTTCGTTCTTGTCTTTTGACAGCATCAAGCTGAAATAAATACATTGTGTAGTTTGCTATTAATTGAAATAAAGTTGCATTATGTTAAGTTGAAACATTAATTGTATAAATCTGACGGATTTATTGGATACATACGAGTATATTCACAATGAATAATTAAAATTTTTAAAATCACCATTTCTACCATAATAGAGAAAAATCACAACTTCCGTTGACTAGCTATTGCCAGATGTGATTTTCATTCCCAGCGAAATATCATGCAAGTGGAAAAATTACCAATCACTGATATTGTGGCCCAGCAGTAGCAGTCACTAATAAGCGATTTAAACAGTGATAAAATCACCGGTAGTGAAATATCGCTCATCACAAGCGTCAATGCAAAGCATCATCAGTTAGATATCCGAGTCTATATCGTGTAACAATATGTATGTATACTTACTTACTTTTTTATTACGGAATTAATAAAATCATAGTTTTGGTTTCAAAGTGGTGTGTTTCAAATAAATCTACGACACTACTTTTGCAAAGGGTATGGATTTAATCTAATTAACTGTCAACTACATAATAGGGGTCTTCATCAGAAGTGATAAACTGTTGAAAACTTGATAAAATGATAAATTTATCATTTTATAAATGAACTGTCAAACTTTGTATGGAAATCTATTTAACCAAAGTTTATCACTTTATCAAACGATTTTGGTAGATAAATGTACATATAAATTTCAGCAAAATTCAACCCTGACCTTAAACGTATCCATAAACAAGTAAAGAACTTTAAGTTCGGGCGACACCGAACATTATATACCCGGCGCACATATTAAATATCGTTTTTTCACCTTTCAGTAAACTGCATTATAAGCAAGAGTATTTTTCCAAACATTTCGATAATATACTATGATTTATTCAAATAATTGGACCAAGTTTGGTGGAAATCGGTAAGGCGGTTATCAATATACACTTACGTAGTAAGTAATCAATCATCATGTGTCTTATTAAGTGATTGTTGTAAGTTGGCGTCTTAGCCTTCTGAAATGTACCGTTATATGGTAAGTGGCAGTAATTTTGGTCCGATTTCAAAAATTTTCAGCATATTGCTTTTTCACGCCAAGGTTTATAAATATGCCGTAGAAAATGTGTGGTAGAAATTGGTAAACCGGTTACTGAGATACATATATGTAGGCATAAGTCGGCGGTGCCACGCCCATTTTCCAAAAATTTCCCTAATTATAATTTTCTGCTAAGAGGTTATTGCATATATCGATTTTGAGTATATTAGCTTAAATAGATACTTATTTATCGCAGTTTTCGTAATTCTATAAATTACCGGAGGTGGGGGTGGTTCTTGTCGGATTTCAAAAATTTCTTAGTCAAGCCCTAAGAAGTGTTCTCAGCGAGCTTGGTGGGGATTGGTAAAGGGACTCCAGAGATACAGCTTTTTATCATAAGTGGGCGGGGCCAAGCCCATTTTCCAAAAATTTCATAACTATCTTATTTTGTGCCAAATTTCTACTTCGCATACCAACTTTCAACAATTTGGATCCAGTATTTGCGGAAATATCGTAGTTTTTCCATATTTCGAAAATACCGTTATATGGGAGGTGGGCGTGGTTATTGTCCGATTCTGCCCATTTTCAATCCCAACCTACCTTGGATAAAGGGAAACCTTGATTTGCTTGACCTTGGTTTGTCGGTCCAAACAGGAATCTTTATTTACGGTTGATGGATAGCTCGCTTCCAATGGATGGTGGCAAGAAAGTGGCTGACTTACGTGTAATGATTTTGTATTACCGGCTTATGGTGACTCAATTGCTGTCAAATGAATAGTCCAGATTTGATGCTCACAACTTCTTTATTCTACGCAACAACATGGCTGGGGATTTGCCGGAAGGAATGTGACTGCACCTTTTGCCTCTATTAATTTCCACTGAGGGGTGAGTATCGACTCCCCGACTGTCGCCAGCTTTTAATACAAGCTTTTAATCAACTTTAATTATTTGGTTGTAATTCCGTTCTTGCGAGGGCTGATTAGTGTGGTTCGCTCCGTTTCCAATTCCAAAAAAAAAAAAATATTTTTCTCGCATCGTGGTATGTGACCACCGATTCTTTTATCGTATGTCAGTGTGACGTTTTCATAGTGGCCATGTCAATTCGTGTCTATACCGATATGATGGTTCGTGTCTTGAATAACTATTGGTTACGTACATTCATCTGGCAATCCCCCCCCATTTTAAAGTTTAGCTTTGACAGTTTTGTTATGTTTACATTTCTTATAATCGTTCTTATGTCTATTATTTGGGCAATAAAAAATAATGGATCATGTAACGAACAGCCTACTTTTATTTAGGCGCATGTGTGTGTGTATATATGTGGGTGAAGTGTGTGAGTATGGACGATCTGTTTCTGTTAACAACAGAGTGAATTTATACATGTATACGTGGTATGTTAGCTTGAGGGTGGGGAAAGTAAGAGCCGCAACTTTAAAGCGGTAAGATCACCGTTTGCAGACCGAATTGCATCTACCAGGGTAAACGGAATCATCAGATGCTACATTTTGGGGAAAGAAGAAGCTGCGCGACACAGTTGAGTGAATGCTGAAGATTGTTAAAGTTATCAGTGCGCGCCGCGGAAAAGTTTTAGCTTAAAAAAAAAAATAAAAAAATTAAGTGTAAACAGAATAAACGTAGGGTTTTTGGTCTGAAGCGAATCGCAAAGTGTTCAAGTTTGGATCAGGAGCAGTTCGACGGCGAGAACAATACCGCATCACCAGCTAATTTCAGCAGACATCAGCCCACAAAAATTTGGAGGGGATCCCGCCAACCCAAGGTATGAAGTTCATTGAGAGTTCATATGAATCAAAAGTAATTACCTTGGCGCCATAAACAGTTGAAGTAATAAACCAGCCTTCTTGCTTTGACTACTTCACCTGGTATTGTTCCACCATGTTTAATTACAGTGAATTAATACTAAAGTAAACGTACAAAAAAAAAAAAATAATAATAATAAAAATAACAAAAATCCAAAATTGCGTTTGTACATCTGCAGATACGTGAGCGTATGTATATGCAGAAATATCTGCATATGTGTATGTATATGTACATATGTGTGTGTACACAAATGTAAACCACGAATAACATTAGACACCGCTGTTCGCTTACAGGCGTTGTTCGCTTACATGGGCTGTTGGCGGAGAAACCAAAAAGGTTCCGCGGCGCAACTAACACCAGGCACTGCTAACACCGAAGATTTCCAGAGCTAAGAAAGGAACGAGAAGGGGCCGAGCTGAATAAGTTGAGCTCAGCAGCGACAGGAGCCGCTGAGAGCCATTGGAAACGAGGGAATAACCCACGTTTGCCTACTCGCTACTTAGCTAACGTACTCACCTGCCAGTGTCACCTGCGATTACAATTAGGGCCGGGCCCGGTTTGAGCGTCACGTGGTTGCGGAGCACCGGAAGCCCTAAAGTGCCTGACCCCAAGGCCAGCACAACTTGGGGACTAAATATCGCGTATCTATACAGCCCCACTTGGTTTTTCGTGGGGAGCCAACGACGAATTGCCAACTCGCGTTTCGCGCACTAAGCGTGTTTCTAATGCGCGTTAGATTTAAGTCCATTAGTATTATAATTTAATTTTTTTATTATATTAGTTTTTTTTGTTTGCTTTGCTTACGACCCGTCGAAATTGTATAAAAGCCACTTTTAAATTTCGCATACGTATGTATGCATATAAATTTGAACATATTCAGCCTTATCATGAGTTTCATTTTCCCCGAACCGGTTCACTTTTCACTCTTGGTTTCCATGGTTTTACTATATGCGGATGACTAATTTTCGGGTGAATTTTTTTTCAGGCGAAACTCAGGATTGCTGATTATTTTACTTTTCTTTTTGAATTTATGAATTTGTAGAATTTTTATTTAATCGGCGCACCTAAACGCCATAAATTTTGCACATGAATTTCTTTCTTTTCTTTTTTATGAATTTATTTTCTTCGGTGTAAACACAAACACTTTATTTGAATTGTATACTTTCCGCACTAGTTTTCGCGTTCATTTTGTCTAACAGAATTAGTTTTAATATATTTCTATTTTGGAGTACGGCCAGGCGTGTTATTTCGATTGAAGTTTGACGGGAACTAATTCGCTACAAGATTTAACGAGATTAATTGGAAGGAAGATCGCTCTCCCACTTCCAACTTTTATATGACGTGCATATGTATGCGAAATTTAAAAGTGGCTTTTATACAATCCAAACTTGGCACAGTTGTTAGCCTTGCTACAGCATACCAAATGGCCGAAAATTTTTAAAATCGAACAATAACCACGCCTACCTCCCATATAACGGTAATTTGGAGAAATACGAAATCTTCGATAAATCAATAAATATTAAAGATAATGTACTCAAAATTGATGCAAAATGGGCGTGGCACCGCCCACTTATGATCACATACATGTATCTCGGTAACCGTTCTGCCAATTTGTACCAAACTCGGTATGGTTATTGTGCTTGCCACATAGAAGCAAAACGTTGAAAATTATTGGAATCAGATTCAAATTACGACCACTTTTCATATAACGGCAAATTTCAGAAATGCTCGAAACTTCAATATTTCGAAATTTAAGGACGCTAATTTACTCAAAATTGATACACACCGGCTTACCATGTAGTNGGATGTTAATGAAAATAGAGACCAACGAATTTTGTTAAATATTTTTTTGTTGGAAATGTTGATAATTTGTGGCTTATTGTAAATGGAAAAACCTCCACAAACCAACAAATTCGATTTTCCAATCTTCATTAACTGCTTGACCCAATAGCGACGAAAAAAAGTACGAAGAAATTTGTATAAAAAATTTGTATAATTAAATAA